TCTGAGAGTATAAGTCTACAAATTTACTGTTCTTATACTCTAAAAATCCCATACTTAATTATTATAAAACTCTTATGTTGTAAGCTCTTATATTCTTACACTCTTATACTGTAATACTCTCATATTTTCAAATTCGTGCAAGCTGTCACTCTAGAGTATTACAGTATTGGAGTATCATGCTTCTATTGAATTAATATAAGAGTACGGCATAAGACCATAAGAAAGAGAAAAGTATAAGTTGAATATTAAATGACATTTGTATAGTATAAGTAGTAAGTAAACCGTAAAGTGCAAGACTATATAATATATATATATTCTATATCTCGATCCATCTCTCTCTTTATATCTGCTTATATTCTCAACTTCTTAATGTAACTCTTTTCTTTCTTAACATGAATTGACGAATCAAGAACAGAAGCAGTTTCCTCTTAGCCTTCGCACTTGAGCATTATTTGATTTGTATAAGTTGTAATGCTGTACGATGACTCGATTAGGTTCGTATTACACATTTCTTTATCCAGTTCTCTGGATTTTGCTGTCTGCAGCAATCATTAGCAACAAAAAGAAAGGAGATTCTCCGTTTATTTTTACTTTTGGCTCTGTAAGGCCAGCTCGTGCGCTGAGATTCTTCTTCCTTTGCACAATTTCTCAAACAACATTCGGTAAGCCTTCAGCCGGAGTTGCTCGAGCAATACATGCGAAGCTAAACTCGTTAAGAATCACACACACACGCATACGAGCGCGCAGGAAGAGGAAGACATGGAAACGGAAATCCAGCTTTTTAGCAAATTCGTACACTTCATTATGGAGTGAGGCGAAGGAGGCGAGGCAAGTGCAGAAAAGGAAACAAAACGCGAAATGAAAAGCTTTCAAATGAAACGAATGAAAATCGCATTGGAATTCAGCCCAAACAGAGAGAGAGAGAGAGAGAGAGAGAGTGAGAGAGCGAGACAGATAGAGAGAGGGCTAGCCTAAGGAGCGCACTAGACGTCTTCTTGTGCAGCTCATGGAAAATGTAAATAAAATTCCATTGCAAAACATTTTGCAATTACAGCGCACGGCTCCTTTCGCAAAACTCCCTACTTCCACTTCAACTCGCTGCGAATTCGAAATTTAACTGCGACTTCGTCTCGACTCCATTGGTCATTAAATATTTAGCAAGAGGTGTGCAGCACAGGTGAGAGACCGGAGGGGGTGGGGAAAGGAGTGTGCTCAAGAAACGTCTCAGTTTACCTCGGCGAGAGCGAAAGTTTTCCCAATTGCCTTGTGGGTGAACTCCTCGTGGGTGCTATATACCCTGTAGCTATAAGGCAGAGGATGTGCTGAGACTGGGCATAAACATGTAACAGACTAAGCAAATGGATGGAGGTGACTAAAGGGGAGAGTAGCTCAACTATGTAATATAAATAGCTGTTAAGCTGTAGACAGCCAATCAGATTCATGAGGAAAAGAAATTCTCATAAAGAATAAAACTCTCATAGCCTCTTACGTTTTGCTGGGTATCTTCTAGTGCAATCCTTGGCTCAAGGTAAAGTCTCGCTTTGCTTTTGCTTGACGTTTTTGGGCTGCGTCTTGATTCGTGAAAATGTCGCGACGTTTTTTGCTATACTTTTGTTTTAACGTCGTCTGGCCGCCTTTTGGGCCAAATCGTCGCTGCAAATTACTGAAATTAAAGCTAACGAAGCGCGAACATTGCCAACAGTTCGCTCGACAAGCTCCGACAACTCGGCAGACATATCGCACACACACACACACACACCCACAGTCACAACCCTAACACAAACTCCCGCTTTGCCAGCAATTCGCACTCTCTTGCCAGGTGGGCGGGCTGCGTGGGTGGGCGGACTGCCTCAAGGTTTCAGTTTTCCTTAATTTTCACGGCATTTTCTTTGGCTTTTGGCAAGTTTTTCTCGCCCACCAAAAAAAAAGGAAAACAAAAAGATTAAAAGTTAAATTCCCACTTTTGTGGCAATTGAATTAGCTGCCTAAAAGGCTAAGTACGTTAAGTACGAATGAGCCCAGTTAAGAAACTATTTCCATTTTGCGTGCTTTTTTGTTTGGTGTTGTTTTATTGTTGAATTACCTGAATTATATTCATTTGCCAGTAGAAAACTGGATTTTCTTAGAAATTCCCAATATACTTCATATACACTTCATATATTCTGAGGGAGTATTTGGCTTATGTTTAAACCAATCAAATCTCAGGCCATAAGTTCAACGAATTAACGGGATCACAAGTCTTACAACCAATGGCGTAAGCGCTACTCTTTGTTTACTCTCTCAAATCACCTAACGGGATCATCATTACTCCAGCCAATGGCACTAGTGCTCGCTCTCTTTCTCTCATAGTAGAGCAGCTGCAGCGTGCAGAGCGCCGCTATTACGTGTAACCTACGTTCCACAACAACTAAATCCACTCTCTGAATTATCTGTGCTACATATCAAATGTAATTCAGCTTGAAGTAATTTCTGTGACTCAAAATTTATGACAAAAAAATTATAATACGCGATGCAGGGGGATAAAAACAAAGCGAAGACAGCTGTTCACATTGGCAGCATATTGAGTTCTGCGTCGCAGCATCTGCTTTGCATGGACGGCTGCCAAACTAAAGCGTTGGGGATTAACGTAAGAGCAAGGCAAAGAAGAGTAAAGCAAAAACAATAAGAAAACACACATAAATAATATAAGAGTCAGCCACACGCTCAATTAGTCGAGGAGGGGCTACTGCAGATCGCATTGGTGCCGATACCTGAGAGCAGAAACAGCTTGTTGTTGTAGCTACCTGGTCAAACACCTGCGTGCAACTGCGTAAGAGGGCGCGTGGCAGCATCAGCAACAGCAGCGGCAGCGGCCGTATGTCTCATTAATAAACGAATCGATAAGTAAGGCAGCGAAGGCAGGTGAAGGGGCTAGCACACACGCACAGGTGTCAGACGCCGCTGCCGCCTGTTTTTTTTTTGCCGCCAGCACTTGTAATATAAGAAGACGCTGCGGCGCGCTTCTGCCGCTTGTTGGCTTTTTGTTTTGCTACGCTCATTCGTCTGGTGCTGCTGACGCCAGCAGCGACGCACTCTCTGACTGGCTCTCTCCCTCTCTCAGCTGTGGAGAGTTTTGCGCTTGTGTAGAGTATCTACTTTTATCTACGTGCGCACGTTTGCTTTGGCTGCCGGCCAGCCAGACTTCATTGTTGTTGTTGTTGGTGTTATTTGCTCTTTGCGCGATTTGCCTTGCTCTTGTCTCTTTTTGTCCTTTGTCAAGCGCCAAAAATAAATACCGTGCGATTGACGCTCTTCCTCTTACCTCTCTCTCTCACTCACTCTCTCTCTCTCTCTCTCTCTCTCTCTCTCTCTCTCTCGCTCGCTGCCCGTAAGATCTTTGCTTATTTTGTTGCTTTTCCAGCCATTTTGGCTAATTAATGTTTGTTTGCTGCGCTGCTTGACCCAGATATACAGCTTTTACTATGCCGTTCATATAAATATCTTTTGGCTGAACTTGAAATCCGTCTCTCTCCATCTCTGGGTGGTCATAATTTTAACCACATGTATATCCCATCTGGGGAGACGCACTAATTTTGTTTTTTTTTGTTTTGTCTGTTTCATTGAACAAATTTTATTGTGTAAATATTATTGGAATACAATTGTGCTAAAAGGAAATCCAGCCAATCTAATTTTCTTATGGCTTTCAACTATATATACAGCTAATACATGTCTGATGGAGGCCAATTAGACTATATGTAAAAGCAATTACAAAGTGAAATTAAAAAAATAGAAATGCGGAAAATGTTTGGAAGTTTTTCTTTACTTTGGCTCGATATATTAATCAAGATCACATCACGTGAACTAGTAGATCCCAGACGAACGACGAGTAAAGAAGCTCAAGGTCGAGCCCCATGGAACATAGAAGACGAGAGTCATATAATATTTATATTATTATATATATATTTTTTTTTTGGATACCTACTAATAATAAGAGATGCAAAAGTCCTCAGGGAAGTTAAAGTTTCAGATAGATAAAGGGAGAGAGACACAGAAAGCGTAAGAGATAGAAAGAGGGAAAATAATTGTGATCCATGAACTCACCTCGGTTCATTTTAATAATTTCTTTCTAATTATTTTTCAATTTACTGTTCCAAGTCTCCTTAGCAATTCGCCCATTGGGAAGAACTGGGGAGAAGAGAGAAGATTATAAGCAGAACTGAGAGTAATGCAGTAAAGAAAAGTTTATGCGAGTGTATAACTAGATACTAGAAGATACTGGCAGAATAGAGGGTCTAGCAGAAAGTTAATATTATATAAACCCTTTTATACGCAGTAAAATCCGTCTTCTAGATCTTTTAGTCCGACAAGTGAATACGAACGGTGAATATACGAACGGTTTGATTATATTTATATAGGTATACATACATAAATATATATAAATATATATTTATACTTACAAATATATACATATATATAGTTTTATAAAACCAAAACGTATTTCCATAATAAAAGCGAAAGATCAAGTAATCAAATTATGCGCAAATGAAAACCGCGCAAACGAAAACAACTAAACTAACAAGAAAAACAAATGGAAAATTCGGACAGAAGGAAATGTTCGGCCGCAGATGCCAAAGCCAAAATTTATAGCAACAACAACAGCAACGCGAATGAGCAACAAAGGCAGAAAAAAAGTCTACACAAGACGGGAAACATGTGGCTCGGCGTTCAGTCGCTGCTCGCAGTGGCCGCGTCGCTCGCACACTTGACCAACGCTGGCAGCGCTGCTGGCGCGAACGTTAACGTTAACGTTAGCGTCAATGTCAGCTGTAAGACGCCAACGCAGCCGGCAACATTTCGCGCGTTAGCCATGTTAGGGGTGGCTTTTCGCTGCTACTGCTGCTGTTGCTGCTGCTGTCAACGTCGCTGTTGCTGCCAGCGTCGCTGCTTCGGCTCTTTGGCTTTGGCTTTGGCTGCCTGTGCAGCCATCAAGTGGATTTCAGTTTCATTTTGAACGTCGTGCGTCGAGTACGTGGACGGATTGCCCATAGCATACGCGCGCGTTCTTCGTCTTACGAACCGAGAAACCAACTCGAATCGAATCGACTTGAATTCAATTGAATTGCAGCTGACGTTGTTGTCATTTTGGTCTGGCCAACACTAAGCAGCAGCAACCACAATTGGCAGTAATCAGCGCGCGTGTGAAAACTAAAATAGAAAGAAATAAAATTTCAATCTGAGTTATGCACAGAGATCCACGCGACACCTATGTGAAAGTAAGCGACAAGAAAATGCCCAAAAAATATATTCATCAACAAGATAATAAATTAAATAATAATCGAAGAAAACAAATGAAATTAAGCAAATAAAGTTTAAATTATAAAAAGAATTGTATAAAAAAAATAAAAAACAGAAGGAAATTAAGCCAAAAATTCAAATGAATAGTATATATATATGTTTATGTACATTTATATTGTATATATAATATTTTATTAAAAAATAATTTTATATAAAATCGTTCAATCATATATTCTAACTATAAAATGATTAAAATAAAAATTAAATCGAAGTTGAATTATTTTCAATATATAATTAAATTAAATCAAATTTGAAATCATTCAAAAATAAATTGAAGGAAACATAATACAATTTATTTAAATAATAATCAAAAAGAAATGAAAAATAAAAAATTAAAAAAAATAAAATTGTTCATTTATAGAATATAAAAAGTATACAAACAAATTTTTTTTTGCGGCTTGAAATGAAACAATTTTAATTTATACTTAAAAAATAAGATATATTTGGGATATATTTATAGATATATATACAGCCAGTTATTCAGGGACTCAACTATATATAAATGTTGACCTTATGTGTTATTGTAATAACTCACAATAAATTGAAAAGTTTTTAGAAAAAATTTCAACATGAAAATTTATGTCACAGCCAAAAGTAAATCGAAGACATAAAAAAATAAAAATGAGCAAATGTTGAAAATATTTTTTGTGCGCTAAAAGCGAAAATGAAAATAAAATGTTTATAGATATATATATATATATATAATGTACAGTATGCAGATACATATGTGTATATAAGTTCTACATATACATATATATATATACAAATCGGCAAAAATTATATCATAGCCGAGACGATTTTTAAAAATAGCGCGCTACGAAATTTAGTTTGTTTTTTTTCTCTGCTTATAATTCATGCAAAAAATGTGTCATGCCTGGCAGTATATATATGCACATATATATGTTATTATATATATTTAAACATATATATATATCTATATAGATATCGCAAAAGTGAAATCGACCAGCAGCACAAATCGAGGAAAGAGATACAGATTCTTATAGAGAACTGAACTGAAAAGTTGAGCTCTGCTGCATGTGTTGTCATTAATGATGAGCATATGTTGGCTATGTATACGTTTATTAGCCATATTCCGCTATAAATCAAGGTATATAAGTGCACAGCCTACACGCGACATTTTACTACGCGAGCAACTGGAAACAGCAAACTGGCAAAGATCTAATGACGAGTGTTTTGGCTTGTTGAATTATAAATAAATAAATTTGGCAATATATTCACATGATATCAGGCAACAGTATTTCATGACTTATTTGTTAGCCAAAAGTGAGACTAAACTTGCTTCAAGTGGCTGCCACACACCTGCCTCACACAGACGCCGCTTTGAGAGAGATCATTTCTTGCTGGCTAAAAATGAATTTTAATAAATTTAAAAAGTGTTTTGGAAGGACAGAAATCTACTTATAGATACTACAAGAGGTCCATAAATGAAAATAAATATTTATATTCATATTTTTCAGTTAGGGATTGGACTCTGGGTTACAGTGTTTTGTATCAAGTTAAAACTCTATAGAAAAGTATGACTTAAGTAGATTCAAAGTCTAATGTTACTCATGTTCTGTCAGCCGCTTTATTTAATACTTCCTCCGCTCTCTACTTAACATATTCAAAATGCATTTCATGACTGCGCTAGCCACCCTTAAGAGCAACAAAAGTTATATCGAATGCCACCTGTTTTGACGCGGCACTTGTTCAATTGCCCTGCCTCAGGCTGAGGCGAGCCAGAGAATTTTTTCAATTTTTGTGGCGCATCCTCCAGCCCCTATTAGAGAAAGATAGACACAGAGAGAGAGACAGAGAGGCAGCGTTGGGTCACATTTTGTGTGCACATTTTAATTCATGGTTCGATGACCACAGCGGAAATTCCTTTAATGAGAGCTGCTGAAGCAGAGCGAGTGACCAAATGCACGTGTCCCAGTCGCTCGTAACCTGAACCCGTTGGCCAGGCGAGCAGACAGACAGTTGGCCAGGCCTAAAAGGCTGACCCTCGTGCGTCGTCTCGGTCTGCATTGCATTTCGTTTCATTTCATATCATTTTAAAGCTTTTCACTTCAATTCTGTTTTTTGAAAATGTGTTTTAAAACTGTTTTATGCCAGCTTACTTTTCACGAAATTAAAAATCTGCCTACAAAATAATGCTGAAATGTAAATTGCAAATTATATGCGCGACTGCACATGCTGGGGGGAAGGGGCATGGCAGGTGTAGGCGCTGTAAGGTGCGTGTAATGTGTGCTACGTGCAGAGGAAGCCAAATGGATGGGACACACAGCCCAAGCCCAATTCAGTTGTAGTTGAAACAAATTGGTTTGAGCAAAAGAATATTTAAGATTGGGGAAAATAATTGGATTGAAAAGTGGAAAAGGCCAAAGTGTAAAACAAAAGCAAAAATAAACTGAGAAATACCTAAATTAGATAATGTTAAAAATATTGATTTAAATTTAAATATGAATTATAAATTTAAATAAAAAATGGTAAAAAATATCGTAATAATTTTAATATAAATCAAAATATATTAAAAAATTAATAAATCAAAAAATAAATGTAAGTTATGAATATTATATTAAATTATATAAATAACTTCAAATAAACAAATTGTTTTGTATATCTTTAATATAATTTGTATTTTATAAAAATATAAAACATACAAAAACTTGAATAATAAAAATATAAATATATCACAAATATAAAATATCCAAAATCTTAAATATATAAATATTTATTATTTATTTATTATAATTATCAAATTTGATAAATATTTTCCTACATTTCAATATGAAATTTGTTTAAAAATAAAATATTTATAATAAATAATATATAATTGATAGTCATACATATGTATTTAAACGTATGTATATATTAAAGTTACACTTAAAAAAGTAATTAATTTTATAAAAAGTAATTTCTATACAGAATCTAAAATATGTGTAGAACATAAAAAAATTAAAACAAAAACATAAATTGAAGCTGATTAAAAAATAGTATAATACACAATTTATATTTATTCATCGCACAGAGTTTTCATATAAATTTAGCCAATTAGCTTAACAAATAAAAAGGGTTTAGAAATGCCAACAAAAAAAGGCAAACATAAAAAGTTGACGAGCCAAACGACCAAATAACTACATAAAATACAAAATAAATAAAAGTCAAACAAATAATTCGAAAAAAGACAAAGCAAAGAAGAAAATATTATGATTACAATTATTTATAATTAATAATTAATACACATTGATAGAGCAACAGAAAATAAAGAAAAAAGTTAATAAATAAATGCATAATTTATATGGGATAATATAAACGTATATATAAACATAAGCATATATATATATATATCTATATATGTATCTATATATCTATATATGTGTGTATATAAAACAAACAAAACGCAATAATAAATAATGTAATTTATGCCGCATTAAAATTTTCCTAAATTATAAATCATATGCAAAATGATATTTGGCAAACGCAATCAAAATGTTTTGGATTTATGCAAATGGCAAATGGCAAATGAGATTCATGGAAGAAACGTAAGTAAATTGCAATTAAATTGTAGATATTCCACATAATAATGCTGGCAGTCGAAAGCCAAGTCAAGCGTATGGCATCGGCAGTCAGACGACTCGACAGAAGAGTCGGAGTACCCTTATTGTAAAAATAACTGCCCAAGCACTTGCTTCATTTGTTACAATTACAAAATAACCAAAAAAAAAAACGCAGGAGAAAACTTGAGCTCGAGTTGATGTCGAGTTGATCTTTGATTGGAAGTTTTGTTGGCAACTAAATTTGTAGCATACCTTCAGGTGCACCTGGTCACCGCTCACCTGTTCATCTCCTCACCAGTTCAGCTGTTCGCCGTTCATTTGTTCGTCTCCAGCTTTCAGGTATTTCGTTTCGTTTGTGCAATCAATCAAGCGCATGACTAAGGTCACGGAGCAGGGGTCAAGTGTATCTTCAAAGTGCTTAGACTTTAGGCCTGACTGCACAGCATTTAGTTCGCTTCGAGTACACGCTCAGGCAGACCCCGAGTCCAACTCAATTTCTTTTTAGTTTATTGTGTTATTTTAATGCCTGTCTGCTCGGCTACTTACAAAAATGTAAAGCAAACAGAAGCCAAGGTAAACACAATTCTGTTCCTGCTTTGTCTCCGCCTTTTTCGCAACTCCACGCGAACGAAAACATTCCCAAAATATAAAATAAAAGAAGGAAAAGAATTGAACAACACATTTCTTATGCAAAGGCTAAACAACAAACAAAACACTTTTCCCAAGCTCAGCTTCCCCTTTCTCCGTTGCCCACTCCCCAAGAATTAACATTAAAAAGCCGCGCGCACATTTTGATTTCTCTTCGCGTGTTTTCTCGTGGGTTCTTAAGCTTCGCTCTACGTAAACCTCTGGCACCATCCAGTAAACGGCAACTCTCTCTCTCTTTTTCTCTGTTTTGTTTGCCCTTTGATTGTTGGGAATATTTTCTTTATCAAAGTGCTTTTTCTGCCTCCCCTTTTTCGTAGATGGCTGCGGCTCAGTAAGTGGCAGAATAATTGCCAAATTATGGTAAAAGTTCTCTCCTCTGTCTATAGCTCAAGCCATTTTTGAGCTACGAGCATAAAAGTTGAACATTTATGTATAGAAATTATGAAATTGTGTATGAAATACAGTTAATTAAATAATATTCATTTGAAATATGAATCGCGGCCATTTAAAATGTGTTAACAGCTTGATTGGCTTAAAATCGATATATATCGATTTGTGTTTTATGCTACTTAGCACTTTTTTGTTGACTTTTAACGGAGCTAGTTGAAGTCCAATTTAGTATTTATATTGACTGAAGGCTTTGTATACACAACATATTTATTGTTGATATAAATCATTACATGATTTTCGATATTTTTTTTATCGATTTTCATGTTTTATTTTTATAAAGCGCCGCTTCGATGGACTGACCTAATCGATTTCAAGTGCCTTTTGCAGAGTAAAAATATTGTTTGATCAAAGATAAACAAGCTAATAAAAAAGCAATTAATGCGCTTGTCATAATCAACATGCGTGTGTAGTGAGTGAGTGTGCGTGTGTGTGTATTTGTGTTGTAACTAATTAAACAAAAACATGAACGAAACGTTTGGAAATTGTCGAACCTAATAAAAATATTAATAGTTCTCACACTCGGCAGCCATAGATGTTGCGATTCCAACAGCTAAACAGGCGACTGAGGGACAGAGAGAGAGAGAGAGAGACAGAGTGAGTGAGAGAGAGTGAGAGGTGGGCAGCCGCATAAATATTTGCTTTGCGTATTATGGGGGGTCGCTCATGTTTAGCCATTGTCCTTGTCATGTGTTTGCTCTGCTTTGCATGTCATAAATTGCTGCATAAACAAAGGCGCAGCACAGCACCAGCCACGCCCACGCCCAAGCCGCAAGAGAAAAAAAAAACAACAGCAAAATGTCCAAATGATATTTCGCAGTTTTGTGTTTTGAGACATGTGTCATAAATTCAGATGCTCGGCTGTATAATGATGATGTTTTGGCTCTGCTCCTTTGATGAAAAGGGAAATAGTTTTTCCTTTTGCTCTCCATTCTGCCATTTCTATTTGCCAACTGTCTGGAACTGAAGCTGTTTGGAGTTGCCTTGCTGTTTGCCAACTAAACAAAGCGAAGAGCTCTGTAGTTGCAATGTCTGGCTACACATTTATTTTTTCTATCTTTTTTAGCTGACATTGTCTAGATATTTGGACTCTGTAAGAGTTTGCAGATATCATATATCGAATTGAAATATTATAAAAATTTTATAAAGTATTTTACCTGATATAGAAATGGTATATAAGTATTATAAAATATAAAGAATTTATACGAAAATATATAGACATTTTTTAGAAGTTATTTCTAAAGCAGCTACAAGAGTATCTCAAAGTCGTCAAGACTTTTGCTTGCATTTGTGTTCAGTTCAGTTTGTCTTTTAAAGAGTATCTTCAAGTCTTCCAGTTCTACTCACTTTCAACGCAGCCTTTTTTCACACTTAAAATGCAAAACAACGTGTAATTGAAATTATTTTAAGCAGGATATCTAAAGTCTGATAGAATGCAGTTCAAACATGTCTGCAGAGTGTGCCGTGTTTGTGCAGGTGGCCGGGTTGTCACACCACCTGTTTGTATGGAAACTGGGCAAATGTGGAAAAGTGTAGGAATAACAAGTAAAAAAATGGGATAAGTAAGAAAAACACGCAAATTGTTAACCGCACACACGAAACATTTTTCATGGTTGGTTTATTTATTTGTTTTTGGTTTTTATTTCCCTTTTCTCACATTTCCTTTTATGTTGCGCTGATGGTGTGCGTTGATATTTGGTGATGAATTTACGACAGGCATGCATTCAAATCCGACGCTACACACAGGAGCACACACTTGTGTGTGCACACATATATGGGCATTGCCTTTATTTCTAATCTAAATTTATGTGCAGTTGACCAAGAGTCACAACTCGTTGCCATTATAATTTTTTTAATACGCTATGTTGGGGCATTAAAAATATACGAAGAGGTGTGCAAAAAAATAGTAGTGTTCAGCTTATAAAGCTTAACACAATATTTTGTAAGCAATTAGAAATTAATATGAAGAATAATATTTATTTATATAATTTAAATTTGTGTAACTTTTAGTGAATGCTGAAAACACATATTATATTGATTATAAAATCTTTAGTATTTTGATTTCTACATAGAAATTATAAATATAATTTCTTCAATAACAATTTGTAATGTCAATTTCACGCTAAACACTCTACTCAATGAACTAATAATAATTATTTCTAGTACCTTGACCAAGTTAGTGCATCAAGTCTTCGATAGAGCAACTCTTTCGGTTTCATAACAATTTATTTTATTTTTTTTACTCTCACACCTCTTGGGACTTATCTGAACTGCCCTGTTCCCTGCTCTCAGGCTTCCTATTTTTATATAACATTTTTTTTCTCTGTCACGCAAAGTTGTGTTAAGCACACGTTGGAGAATTGTGGACGATGAATGGAAAGGGAATTTCGCAAATTAATTAATGAAATACTTGGAAAGTTGTGTGTATCTGTCTTTTTATATTGGACCATGTGTCTAATTAGTAAAAGGAGCCAGTCAATTGCCCAATTGCTCAATTCCCAGTCAAGTGAAATTTAAGATCCTGGCATCAAATCCAACTGGGAGAAATTACATTAAAATCCGAAATAATGAAATTGCCAGCGCAATAAAATCATTTTATGATTATGGCGTGTGTGTGTGTGTAAGTCCTGGGCACACACATACACACACCCACGTACCGCCTACTCGGTCTGCTGACAAACTTGCCGATAAATGTCGCCCGGGACAAGGGAAAATGCGTGTGGCATACTTTGCGGTGGGGCGAAGCATGGTGTGGGTGGAGGGTAAGGTATCTTTCGGCTATGACATTCCCTTGCATGGTACGCGCTGTAAATTAATAATATCAACTTTGGCAGCAAATGTCAGAAAAGGGCAAGCAAATAGCTGACGCCCGCCCCCGCTTCTCACTCACTCGACGGCTGACATGAGTCTGCCTGCTCCTTCGCCCACTCCCACACTGTGTGCTTCTGTCAACTTTTTGATGCGTGTGCTCGTGTGCGTGACTTGCTGACTCTTTGGTGTTTACAGCCTGCCGAATCAAACTTCAATGTATGTGACATCTGACTTCTCGGGCAAGCCAAATGAATGCCGCCCTTATGTATGCCACGTAAAAGGCTCTAAGTGCGTTCAACATTCAAATCAAGGAAGTACAGAAAACAATAATAGCAACAACAACAGCAACAACAACAACAAAATTATGATAAATATTTGTGATATATGATATGTTCGCCTGTTGATTGAACCAGCTCCTGAAAGCCCCACTGCTTCGATATCATTAATGTAATTAACAGAATTGTTCTACGTGTACTGTAGATGCAATCTAGATATGTTCTCATATGAGATTGATTTTATATATGTGAGTATATTGAATAAAGCTTTTCTAGTTGTGAATAAAGCTATTCGAAATACTTCATACAAGCCACTAATTTCCTTTTATTTTATATATTTTATATATTATTTATAAATATATTTTATATATACCTTAACTGATTTAATGTTACACTTTCGATTTTGCCTCAATTACCATGTCCAAAATTTTGTTTTTATTTTTCTTTGATTTTCATCTGTTTTTTCCTTTTATTTTTGCATATTTTTTTGCTGCAAGTGAAAGACAAATAAATTGTTAACATGCTGCATTTCAATTTACGCGAAAGCTTTGCCAAATGTCAAGGGTCAGCGAACAATGAGGCACTTGTTAAGTGTTTTTCAGTTGAAACATTTTTCACATTTCAGCAGAGAATGAAATGCAGCCGAAAGAATTGGATTTTATCAGGAATTGTAAATGTTATAAGTAAAATATAAATAAAAAGAATATTAATATGAATATAAAAAAATAAATAAATATATAAAAAGAATAAATTATTTTAAAAAAATATATATAAATATTAAATAAAAATGAATAGGCAAAATAAAATATTTTAATATATTTTAATTATAATTTATATACAACAATAATTTAAAAACATGTGTCAATAATATCTGAAACATTATTTTAAATTCCAAACAAACACTTAATATATATTTTAATATTATGGAACATTAAATATGTACATATTATATAGTTGTGTGAACAGGGGATTTACTTACGTGAAGACTTTTCTTCTTAATAAAATAAACGAATTCAATTTAAGCCACCTTCTCGTTAGTTGGGGCACAACCAGTGTGTGGTTAAACATTTGCCTGCTGGACAGAGAGGCAACACTTTTATAAATTTTTTATAAAAACAGAGAGCCAGTGCTCAGAGCAAGACAAGCACAGCAATCAGCCGATTTTATCAGCGCAAAGAGAAAAAAGAAAAATTTATATAAAAGAAATTGCGAGCTGAAAAAATTCAAACAACATGCAACAAAGTCGAGCGGACGAGAGTAGATTGACTGGAAGCGCCCAAAAAGCGACTCCAGTGCTTCTCTCTCTGCCCACTCTCTCTCTCTCTTTCTCGCTCACTCTGTGTCTGTCCAGAGAGGAGAAGCAAAAAGTGTTGTGAGTGTAAAGTGTTGCACATCAGGCCACAATGGCACTAAGCCAATAAATTAAATCAAACAAGCGCGATAACCATTTCACTTTTGCCATGTCTATCCGCACACACACACACACGCACACATACAGCTGCAACAATGTTGTTCAACAACAACAACAATAAAGTTAAAATGGCGTAAACAGTATAAAAACTGAAATGCATGAGCTTTTCACAGTAGCAGCCGCAGCGACAAAACAAAAACACAGAAAAAATTCTAAAAAAAAAAACTGAAAAAAAAGGCGCTTTAAATGCATTTTAATAAAAGGCAAAAGCGAGAGAGCATGAGAGAGAGATAGAGGGGGAGGGGGGCAGAATGCAGTCAAGTTTGAAAAAGTGTGTGGTAAAAATTTTGTAAAAGCTTTTCTGACACTTGGCTGCGTATATGCCATAAAATATGCTGCATATTGTTGTTGTTGTTGTTGTTGTTGTTGTTGTTGTTATGACTCGTTCATCAATATATAGAAATATGTCTGTGTGTGTGGCAATACCGTTAATTTTTGTCAACACATGAGGACGCCATTTTACTGTCACTGGCAAATTGTTTAAGGCTGTTGCCATGATCGCCAGAAAGTAGCTAAACTGGCTAAGCTAAGATTAACATTCTTGAACAATCTTATCCACTTGTTTCTAAGTACGCACCCGTCTCAGTTATGAAACAAAGCACGTGTCGATTTATCAGTATTTAACTTAGGTTTATTTGACTTCAGCTTACATGTCAAAGCAGTAGATATTTATTAAAATTGCTGTGTGCTGTTTAATGTTATTAGTTAAAACACTTCCCAAATACAAAACGTACATTTTCAGATAAATATATATAGTTAAAAGAAGTAATCTTTCGGTTATAAAAATGAAGTTGGTTTTATCCATGCTTCTCATTGGCCTGGCGGCATTGGTAAGCGCGTTACGACGATCTCCTCTGTAAGTTGGCTTTAATCGTATATCGACTGCAGATCCAAATGCCTTGTGGCCAGTCTAGAAGTCTGGCCAGCAGCTCAATCGTGGTGGATGGCACTGCCGTCAACAGCAATGCAACTAATCCAAATACGACCTCAGTGGCTGTAAGGCAGAGCAATGAGACAGAACTGACGACCGTAGCGCAGCCCGTGACCAGTGTCGTTGTAACAAATATTCGCAGGAAACGCGAGGAGACGGAGCCCACGATGCCCTACGACTTGCATACAATGCACTTGCCATGTGATTTTGATCAGAACGGCAGAGCGCAGGTTATCGACTCGTTTCCCAATCATTGCGTTTGGGTGTGGAATAACAAGTACGTGCACGAGGGCTTCTTTCGGGTGTTCAAGACCTATCAGCTGGAGGCCTTCTTCTTTGGTCAGTACTATGAGCGCTTGAAGCGTTTCGAGATCGATCCACACACCTGGGATTACACCAACACTGGAGTCTAGAAAGTATCAATGTGAGCAAAACATCAAAACACACAACTGACTGTGCTCTTCTGTGGATAATTATTGAATAAGAAAGAACAAGCGCGTTCTCTTTTCATTGGATAGAGCTGAACAGCAAAGGACTACTCTCAATGTGGAATGTATACAGAAGTATCGGAAGTACGTATATGGGAGTATCAGTAATGTCATCAAATGAAAGTGTCAATGAAGAGGGTTGGGCAGCAGAGGACTACCCTAAATGTGGAATGTATCACAAGAAAAGTCAATAGAGAATGAGAGTATATAGGAGTCATCCAATGAAGAAAGTGTGAATACAGAGAGAGGACTGCCCTTCATAGGAAATGTGTTTGGGAGTGTCACTATTGTTATCTCAAAAAGGAAGAGAGCTGAAGAGCACAGGACTGTCCTCAATGTACAGTGTGTATGGTAGTATCACTAATGCCATCAGAAGAAGAAAGTGTCAATGAGAGAGCTGGGCAGCAGACGACTGCCCTTCATGTACGGAGTGTGTGGGAGTATCACCTGTCGTCAGAAGAAAATAAAAAGAAAATTCCAAGTGATAAAAATATTTAAAACTGAATCCAAAAAAGTAGGCGTAACAATTTCGATGAAATGTATATACAAATGTTTGCATGAATATGGCATATTTAAAAGTTCATTGTAGACGAACACGCAGTTCATTTTTCAGTTTTTTAGTGTTTTCACATTTTTCACATTTTCGATATTTTTACTTCTGCCGGATGTTACACTTAATTTTGTACACGACATTTTTCTGACACATTTGACGTTTCAGAGGTGGTATTTTGAATCCTGGCTGAGATGGCCAAGTTTATGCGCATTTATGGTTTTTCTAGATTTTTTAAGCCTGGATTCGCGTGATCATCCGACAAGGGGAAGAAGAGAACAGCAGCTACATCAGCCCGGATCGGTTGCACCACGTCTTTGCAGCCAACGGCAGAGGAGCTCGAATACTTCCAATGCTTGGGCGATGGGGGCTAAGCTATGATAAATTTACGAAGGAACAATTGGAAACAGATCGTAGACGACTGGCAAGCCAGGATCTTAATATAAAATACAGAATTTGATCGTTTCAAGATCGAGCAGAATAGTTGAGCTATTTATATATATGTACAGCATGCAAGTTGCTAAAATCAAATTATTTGTATACAAAATTTAAAAATTCGTGTTACCGTAAAGAACTAAGATTAAATAATTGACGCTTCTTAGAGTATTTCTATCAGCTGATTCTTTCAGTTAACTTGTAGTTCAGGGAATAGAATTAAATGCGAACTGCATCACAATTGTGGAAGATGGACAGTTTTCGCTCCCATTGAATATTCATAAATGTCGACTAAAATTTGCAGCTTGGCTTAAGCCTTTAATGCAGCTAAGCACCTTTGCAGCTGGAAGTGTGCGTTGGCATGCTATAAATTTAAATTAGTGCGCATTGAGGAGGCTTTCGTATCATAATTATCTAATCATGTACTTAAGAGTGTTGAAACCGAGTTCTCGTTCAGACAAAAGGGCACATTGAAACAGTTGCCAACTGAGGCGAGAAAAAGCCGCTGAGGTCACGCTAAAAGCGTTCAAGTTTTGTGGCCAAAAAAGAGAAGGACAATATATAAACAAAAAGTTAGCTCCCTTTGGACGTTATAAAATACGAAACTACTTAGCCGCGTTGATGAATTGTGACATTTTTATGGGTTTGTCTTTGCGCCGAGGCAAAAAAGCGAGCAGCGAAAGCCAAAGGCAAATGGCCAATGCTTTTGGCTTAGCCACGGCCATAAACAATATGGTCAGCCAGTTGGAGATTCTAGATCCTGGCCAGCATGCATCTACCATTCGCTTAAAATATTGTGCAAATTATGAAAGTGCCAGCAGCACAGAAAAATAAAAACAAAAAATATCAAAGAAATATACTCGCATATCTGTGTGTGTGTGTGTGTGTAAATAAATACTTTTAATGCGCGATTCACGTGTCGCCAACGCGTTCGACGCTTGGCTAAGCCATAAACATAACTCAGGCATATTTATAGTTATGCCCGAGCATGATTTATGTGCTCCTTAGCCCCTCTTTAATTAAAACGAGCGCTAAAACTTTTCCATTTTGGCATTTGCCGAACGCCAAGTTTTTAGGCATGAAAATCATTTTTCCATGGCACTCCATAACACTTAATTGGCCGTTTCTCAGCCCGTTGCCATTTAATGATCGGCAACAGCTACAGGTGAAAGCGAACTCACCTGAGCCCGTCCAAGAGCCAGCTTTAAGTGACACTCGGTGACACAATGGAGGCCCCTAATGGCATAGCTGGCACTAGAAAATATTTCAATTGCTGCGTATTTATCGTCAGTTTATCGAACTTATACCTTATCCGAGCAGTCCACAGGTAGCAGCGTTTAGCTGTGAGAAAGCTCCCACTACCTGCTGCGATTTCATATCCGTTTCATGCGCTTTCCCACTCGTTTTTATGCATTGCATCATTTTTTGTGCGACTTTATCAAGGCTTCGGCGTTGCGTCTCTTCGCTCACTTATTGTTCCCTAATGTCTAATAAAAATATACAAACTGAACAATCTTTGTGCTCTTTCTTTCTTCTTTTTCCTTTTCATTTTTTTACAAATATTTATCTGCGTCCCATTGCGATTGCCTCAGTTGTCGACTATCAATGGCAATTTAACAGCGTTCTCGTGCGTATACGTAATATCGTATACTTAATATGCAGACATTCCGATATGCAGCGCCCTGCTGAGCAGCAGATGCTAGCGTGTGTGGGTGGGAATGGGCAATGGTTGGCAAAAACTTTTTCTTTGTGACTTGCTGACTGTTCATTAGAGGCCGAAGAGAACGTGCAAAGATAAACAGCAAACCATTAAACGATATCTCATCAAGAAAATCGCCTTAAATATGTTTCTGCCTAATTTCCCACGATTGTGTATAGGTGTGTGTGTGTATGTGAATGTGTGTGTGTTGGAGAATGGCCGTCCAGTCAACCATCCATCCAACCATCCGGCATATGCATACAAAAGCAATTTAGCCCATCTCTGCCTTCTCTCTCTCTTTCAGAATCCCAAAGGCCATTGTACATAAGCAAAAAGTCGCTAGAAAATAGAAAAGTAGAAAAACAAAACAGAAATAAGAAAAATCTAATAATTTTTTATGTATTTTTCTCTTTCAGCTCTTGGCTCTCTTACAGTTGAATGACCACAAGGCCAAAGCGAGACCAGAAGAACGCTGAAAAGGTAGAGAGAAACGGCAAAAACCGAAATGAGAAATGTCGCAAAAGAAATAAGAAATTAAATGAAGCAACAGCCATGTGTGTGCCCTGTGTGTGTGTGACGCACAACACATAACGGGAAATTATGTGGCACATCCCATGAAAAAGATGCAAACACAGAAAAGGATCAGAACAACGTGCCAAAACAAGATTAACAAGCCAATGCTAAGCGACCAAGATAAATTACAACTGAACCACAAATAAGCAAGCGACTATAAAATACCAAAAAAAAAAAATAATACAAAAAATTGAACTAATTAAAAATATTGAAAAAGAAATATGAATGAATCAAGTCTCATATATGATAATAAAAATTTCTTATCAATTTAATATTTACTCAAAATTAAAAATACTACATAAATACGAGATTACTAAGAAATACTAAAATATCTAAAATATTTACTTCATTATGATATAAAATTAATCAAGAAAAAATAATGATTTTGTATGAAAAATCTTCACAATCTTCCATTAAAAGTACCAAAGCATATAACAAAAAATATCATAAAAATATCAAAGAATTACAGAAAGAAATTGCCAATTAAAATAGAAACCAGTATGCCTCTCCTAAGATAGACCATACGCATGCAGATACTTCGCAGCAGCTTGCCATTTCCTTTTTCATCTCTTGACTGTTTTTGCTCTTCCCTCGTGCAATTTGATGCCACTTCATTTGGCTGCTTCAGTTACTTCGCAGCAGATATTTTAATTTTGCACGCGCCAGCTGTTTAAGCTGATTAATGACAGCCAACAGAGAAAGCGGCTGTCAATCAAGGACGCTCAGGACGAGACACACAGCCAGCTACTACTAGAGCAAGTGGGAGCGAGCGAGGGAGCGGTGTGGGCAGGGTCAGCGCGAATAGACAGCTAGTTAGTTCCCTGGCAGCTGACTTGACGGCCATTTAAAGCAAATTACTTTAAGCTATTCAACAAATTGCAACAGCAAAGAGTAAGAAAAATTATGAAAAATACTGCGCTAAGCAAGTCAAGTTAGCGGGCAGGTAAAGAAGCAATTGAAAATGGTGAATAGATGATTAGATATTAGAAATATGTGCAGCAGTGGGTATTAGAAGGGTCTTGAAGATCTTTTGAGTTGAGTAAAGAAAACTGTTGATATATTATATATATTGAAACTTCTCTTTGTGCTTGTAATTAATTATTCGAAGCGCATTTAAGATTGAAAAAATTGTTTTGCCATTTCTTTAAACAATTTAAAGATATTATTTATACTTCAAATAATTCTTTATCAATTTGTAATAATTTTCAAGTCATATATTACATAATAATTTGTATTTTAATTTTAATATACCTAATTTCTTTTGCTTCTGCTCGCAAAAATTATGAATATATTTCACTTAATTATGAGAACACCTTGAAAGCAGTCGATCTAAAGGCAATCAGCCTTAAAATTACAAATGACGCAAAAGATGAGAAAGAAACTTTTCGGCAAACGTCAAAAGGCAACAGAAACTTGAGCAAACTAACGAAATGAGAAATAAAATATATATACACTATATATATATGTTCTATAGCTGTGCTGGCAGTTGACTTTTGGTGGTCACTGTGTGCTAGAAACTGGCCAAGCGTTGTGTGTGTCTATCAACGGGTATATGTATATAAATTATATGTTTTCCAGTCCTGTGGTGACTGAAAGTTAGGTTGAGAGGCGACTGTGCCTCTTATTGCTGGCCTCGGGCTCAGACAATGAAATAAGCCATTTAACGAGCAAATGACGGAGTGAATATTTATTTAAGCGGTTTACTGGAAGAACGCTTTTTAACCCTGCTTTTAATTGTTCTTTTTTGAATAATCGAAACAGTTAATTTTATTGGTTTTTCTTATTATATTCACTATTTTTAGTTTTACTTATATGACACCAATTTTTAGCATGTCCTATCAGTACGAGTTAAAACACGAGACTGATCTATATTTTTACAAATCATAGCCTCACCGGCGTAAGTAGAGTTGCCCTTGCCAGGGCTGTTCCTTAACTTGTCTAGCACCCGATAATAAGTGTTGAATAATACCTTACATTAAGTGTTATAAGCTAACTAAGTGTTATAAGTTAACTACCCCCCCCTCAAGTGTAAGGTCGTCCTCGACCGACCCAATTCCAGCGACGACTCCTCGCAAGTGCTTCGCGGACTTCTTTGCGTCGATGATCCACCAAAGAGTGAAGCCAATGCAGATTAAAGCACAGCATATGGCTCCTCTTTCGGAGTGCCGTACAACGACACATCATCAAAGTGCACCATTTCGGTTCCTTGGTCGCATATTAGCAGCGGTGACCAGCGAGTCGGTGCAGGTGTTCTCGAATGAAATCCGCAAGTCGTTCTCATTCACATTCAATACGGAGCAGTATGAGCAGCGTACTGATTCTTCGCTATCGCCGTTCAGCAGGCGCTTACTAAGCTTGCTCTTGCGCCTACGTATGTGGCGTCTGTTGAAGCTGTTGGTGCACGACGTGGACGTGGGCCTTGGCATCGGATGATGCATACCAAAGTTGTGCAGCTGCAGCGACTTGAGTGTGGCTGGCGCCGTCGATGACTGGCCGTGCACGTGCCCGTGATGGCCGTGATGACTGTGTCCCACCACTCCAGCGATGCTATGAGCCGTTACTGGACGAGTGATGTGTGTAGTCTGTCGGCGCGCTCAGCTGGCGATTGAATTCGGCCTTGCGGCGCGTCAAGTCCGTCAGGCAGTATTTGTTCAGATGGCCGTTGCTGGAGACAGGGCTCTTGGGCGATGATGCCAGATGCTGCGTATAGGCCGAAGGAGTTGCTGCTCACGCTTAGCTTATTGCCGGCGTTGTGCAGCAGATTGTTACAGTTCTTGCCGCTGATCTTGGCCGACTTTTGCCCGTCGTCGGTATCGTGTTGCTGCTGCTGCTAGCCGCCCTGTACTCCTTGTCGTCGCTCTCGCTGCGCACCGATGCTCGA